TCTTCTTTTCACATTCATTACTTTGCAAAATATTTCTTTTGCCGATACCTCGGCACTAAGCCTGTATAATACAATCGCAAATTACATTCTTGTTCGCTTAGGCAAAAATTTACTCGTTTTTCACTCGGTAAGTACAGTGACCATCTGCATTATGTTTCGTTCCTACTTAGGGGAGAAATGGGGGGGGGGAGTTTGGAGGCTTCGAACAAGTAGATGTGTCCCACACACGCGTGTTTCTATAAGTTGCGGTCGATTTTTAAAGAAGCTCCGAATCACAAAACGTAACCTATACGTAAAATCTCTGGTCGCGGCTTTCCGTGCCATGAATAAAGCTTCTCTTGTTTCTTTCTTTTCCTTTTTTTTTAACCCTACTTACAATCCTTATAAGATTCGTTTCAACGTAACTTGAGTTTCGTTCGGCAGAAGCATTCCGACGAATATTAGAATTCTTGTAACATAGCGTTTTTTTTTGTTTTATTTTTTCTTAAGTTCATCACTGATGCTACGGGAAAGGAGAAGTACGAGCCGTTTAAAAACATTCGCCACCATGGGATTACTTCGAGTATTAAGGTTATGTGTGTTTGAGAATGCGAGAAGCGCCCACGCGAGCGTCGATTACGGGCGCGAAAATGAATGCAGATCAGGAGAAGCGAATGGAACACACGCACGTAACGCGACGCGCACGAAGATGTAACAAGCATTCGTGGAGTTTTTTTTTTTCGTTTTTGTTCTATTAGAATTAAAGTTGTTCTGTCGACCGCTAGAACGAGGCCGACGGAGCACGGAGAAACAGGTCTCGCTTTTAGTCTCTTCGATGATTCCCAGTGATACTCTGATGGAGGGTTCTACCCTCTCAGTAGTAGAAGTGGGCAAAACTGTTGCAGGTGTTGCGAGAGCGAACCGAGCCTCAGCTATGCGTTTGCGGGTGTGGAGGTGGTGCGCCAGTAATCTCGGTCCAACGCATTTCGAAGAAACTGCGCATCCCGTGTCCAGCCTTCCCCACAGGACTGTCGTCCTCGTTGAATACCTCGCAGTTGATGAACATCTGTCTGACATCGGCGCAAAACTCATCGCGAGACTTGTACCTGTATCGAGAAGCACTCTTTGGAACATGTTCGCAATTTTCCAATTTGGTCGGATTTTTGAAGCTGACGATCAAGTTAGAGCTTTCTTTAATTTTACTTTTTGTCTAGAGATCTTAGGTGAACTGTTTTTTTTTTACTTTTTACTTTTTTTTTTTTTTTAGGGA